CTGCGGCTTCGATCGCCACTCCTCCTTGAGCTTTTTGTTCGGAGGCGAGACTGGATGGAGTGGCGGCGAAGGAATGATAGGCGGGTCCTGCAAAATGAGAGGTGCAGAAGGGTACACGACAGGCTCGTGTACCTGATCAGAAATAGCATGCACAGGCGATACAGAAATCATAGCACAATGATCAAACTCAGTCACAGGAAAAATAGCCTGTTCATTTCCAGCACGCAGGATCAGTTTACCATCATGCACATCAATCAGTGCCTTGGCGGTGGCAAGAAATGGTCTACCTAGAATCAAAGGCACATCCACATCATCATTTATATCCAGAATAACAAAATCAACAGGATATGTGAATGCACCCACATTAACAAGCAAATCTTCTATGATACCCCTAGGATGCACCACGGAACGATCAGCTAGCTGAATGCTCATCCTAGTAGGGCTAAGTTCACCTAGGTCTAGCTTTTTGAACAATTTATATGGCATGACATTGATGCTAGCTCCTAGGTCCGCCAAGGACTTTCCTACATGCATGCTGCCAATAGTAAGAGGGATAGTAAAACTCCCTGGATCCTTGCGCTTTTCGGGCAGCTTGTTCTGCAGGATGGCAGAACATTCCTCGCTCAGCAGCACTGTCGAGAGATCCCCAAGTTTCTTCTTGTTGGTGCAGAGATCTTTCATGAACTTAGCGTACTTGGGCATCTTCGACAGTGCCTCCACAAATGGTACGCTGATGTTGAGCTGCTTCAACATTGCCATAAAATTGGCAAACTCGGTCTCCAGCTTGTCTTTGTGAAGGCGAGTGGGGAAGGGAAGCTGGGGTACGTGCTCCTTCACCACTGGTTGTGGCTTGGGAGCAGGGGCTTCCTTCTCCACCCGCACTTCTGCATCATCGGCTGGAAGTGCTGAAGCAGGTAATGGTTCCTCCTGCCAGGTCGGGGCAGGATCAGCTGATGTAGCCCTGCCGCTCCTGGTGAAAATGGCACCCAGCTGCTCGTGCGGGTCCCGTGGATTAGGGATGGTGGTGGCAGGTAGAGTCCCCGGGGCCCGAGTAGTAATCTGGCGAGCTATGGCGCCAACCTGGTTCTGTAAATCTTGCAGAATGGCACCCTGGTTCCTCTGTCCTGCCTCCAGGGTTCTCTGGCCTGCCTCCAGTGAAGCTATGGTCTGATCCATCCTCGTGAAACTTGCCTGGCTGGTGGTCATGAATGCTGCCAAAATGTTCTTCAGCTCGGTCATCTGATTATCGGGAGCTGGCGCTGCTGCTGGCTCGGCATACTGATGCTGAGGCTGCTGGAATGGCTGCCCTTGCCTAGGCTGGTAAGGCTGCTGCTGTGGTGGTGGCCCCTGCCTAGCCTGGAAGGGCTGCCTCTGCTGAAAACCGCCTGCTGGTGCTGGGAAACCAGGTGGTTTGTTGGTGTTGCTGCTCCAGGCAAAGTTGGGATGCTGGCGCCATCCCTCATTGTAGGTACTGCTGTATGGGTCCAGGCGCCGAGCATTGGCGATGAAGTCCACATGCTCTTGGGGAGTAGAGGACTCCCTCATAGACTGACAATCTTCCACCAGGTGGTTCGGGCTCTCACACCACTGACACTGAGCTACTGGAGGTGTAGCTACACCTCGGCCCGGAAAAAGACTGTTGGGCTGCTTCAACGTCTGCACCAACTCAGCCACCTGCTGCTCTAACCCGGATCTGGCCTCCATAGCATGCACACCTCGGTCCCGGGAATTCCTACCTCTGTTGTTCTGCCCCCAGGAGTGGTCTCGGGCAGCCAAGGTACTGATCATCTGGTTCAGCTCGGGTGGAGTCTTAGTAAGGATATCCCCTCCTGGGCATAGAGACTCAATCACCCTCTGGCTGTCTGTAGTGAGGGCGTTGTAGAAGTTCCCTACTGTGAAAGCATCGCTGAAGCCATGATGGGGACACTGCCAGAAGTATCCCATGTACTGCTCCCATGCATCACGAAGTGACTCATCTGGCTCTTGGCGGAAGTGAGTAATCTCCCGCTGAATCTCCGTGGTCTTCGATGCTGGATAATACCTGTGCACGAACTTGTCAGCCAGATCGTCCCAAGAGGTGATGGACAATGGGGGCTGGGTCTCTAACCACCTCTTGGCATTCCCCGCCAGAGAATGGGGGAAGAGGTGAAGGCGGATTGCGTCATCCGGGACACCGTTCAGCTTGAACTCGTTCGTCAGCTGCAGAAAACGGGAAAGATGTACCCGGGCTTCCTCATCCTTCAAGCCATGGAACTGGATAGAGGATGTGATGAGTTGAATCCAGCATGGCTTGATCTCAAAGTTGTTTGCAGGAATGGGCGGATAGAGGATGACCGGGCGGATGTCAGCAATCCGTGGAGTGTAGTAGTACTCCAAGGTGGGACCCGGTGGTGGTGGATGATGATGGTTCCCAGCTCCCTGAGGATTTGGGTCGTTCCCCAGGATCTGGTTCTGAGGAGGTGGGTTCTGATCGCCTTCCATCTCGTACTCGTCCTCGGAGTCGCTGCTCAATTGGCCGTCTCTGCGCTCCACCGTAGCCAGTCTAGCTCGCTGTTGTTTCCGAAGTTGTTTGCAGGTGCGCTCAATCTCAGGATTCAACGGCAGTAAACCTCACGACTGGCTACGGGTCATGCACTATCTGCACACAATCAAGCAATGCAAACCCGTGAAGGCACAAGTGGGAAAAACAAAAACTCAATGCAAAAACTCAATGCTAAAGTAACAGAAATCACTTTTCTTCAACAACCTAGCCGTCCCCGGCAACGGCGCCAAAAACATGACTCGCTGTTACTGTCACTCTAGAAAATGGCCAAGTGTAACCACTTCCTAAAGCGTAGTATAGCGGGTTTGAGTTTTAATGTCAACCCGGGTCCTAGATGTGATGACTACTCAGTGAATTCGTATTATCTAGCAAACAAAACAACTAAACGGTTGTATTCAGGTTAAGAGAGGTCACCCGGATATGGTTCCCCCTAGCCTGCAGTTAAGCCGGATTGTAATTACCAAGTTCAGTTTCTATGATAGTTATACTGCGGAAGGTTCTCAAACAGTCTGAAGTCTCGACTAAAGGTCTTCAGACCCTCTCAATCTGAGTCTCTAGCGGGCGACTAACCTCCACCGGAGTAAACAGATTGAGGCCCTATGAACAAAACCTCCACTACCGAATTGAATTCGGTACAGAATAGTGAATTGGCTCCTCGACTAAAGTCACCCATTCACTACCTTCGATTAAGGATACTCTATCAACCTAGGCAGATATTATCATTCTAGGTTAAAGCAGAAACAACAGGAATTTGATCAGGATTCATGCCATTCAATCATTCAAACCTCAATCGAATATAATCAATATCATAGAATCAATACTTGGGTTCATACAATCAAACCTAACATACAGAACTAGGGTTTCTCATACCCAGATGAATGGGAGAACTACTCCATGGAGAAAGAAGCAAAAGCAGAATCAGACGCGGAAATCATACTGTGAAGATGGATTTCTGCTCCTGGACGTTGAATCGGCACTTCTCCAAGCTCAAGCCAAGCTCCAATGGTGTTGAAGATCAAGCTAGGGCACTTGGAGGCTCTTGTTCGTCGCTTTCTCTCTCTAGGAACCGCTCTGTCTCTCAAAAACTCGAATCCCCCTCTGTTTGGCTCGGAATCCGCTTAAAAACCAGAATTTCCCGACTCGCACGGCCAGGGTGCACGGCCGTGCATATCACCATTCTGGCCGTGCGGCTCAAAACGCGGCGTACCATTAAGTCGAACTTCAGCCATCTCGCACGGCCAGGATTGCACTTTGCACGGCCGTGCGGATTTCACTTGTGCCCGTGCGTGCTCTCGCACAATCCCGCACGGCCAAACTGGTCACTTGCACGACCGTGCGGGTTTTCTGCTCTGCCCGTGCGTGCTCTCGCACAATCCCGCACGGCCAAACTGGTCACTTGCACGGCCGTGCGGGTTGTGGGTGTGCCCGTGCGACTTCCTCAGAACCTCGCCATGCGTCCGATCCTCGTCCAATCGACCTCAAACTTTCTCCCAAGCCTCCATTCACGTACTAGGACCTGAAATATCATAAACAAGCACAACCTAGCGTGAAATCGGCCTAAAACACGAGAATCAATACCTCAAACGGAGTAAGAGCAGGGGTAAAAACATGTGTAACTAACGGTCTATCAACAGGCCGTATGTCAAACTTATGGCGAGGAGTGTTGCGCATTCTCCATTATATTCCGCAAGGATTGATGTGGAACGTTCAAAGTGGCTCTCATACTAGGTTCTGGACGGATACGTGGCTTCAAGATGGGCCACCGCTCATTGAGTTCACTAATGAGCTCCCAGAAGAAGCACGTGACCTGACTGTTGCAGACCTGGTTCTAAATGGGGAGTGGAATCTCCCCTATATCCGAGCGTTCTTACCAAACGCAATGGTTTCGCAGCTACTGCTCCATCCGGTGTCAGAGGGGAGTGCCCCAGATACGCCTGTTTGGAGATTATCCCCGACCGGTCTGTTCACTATCAAGTCGGCGGTGGAGTTACTTGGAGAATTGGAGGAACCAAGCCATCTACACCCGGTTTGGAGGAGATGTTGGCGGATCGAGGGCCCTCAATGTACCCGATCGTTCTTCTGGCTGGTGCTACATCAACGGTTGCTCACTAATGCGGAACGATGCAGGCGGCACTTAACGCAATCCGCTGTGTGTCCGGTATGTAGAGGAGGTCCAGAGACGACGCTACATGTGATCAGGGACTGTCCCTACGCAAGAGAGGCTTGGTCGGAAGTTTTGCGGGAAGAGCCGGATAGTCTCTTCTTTGAAGAGGACCTCACTAAGTGGGCACTGTATTACCTTGCCGGCCGGAGTGAAACAATTGAAGCTACTCTCTTCGCCATCCTTTCTTGGAAGCTCTGGAAGAACAGGAATAAGTTGGTGTTTGAGAAGACGCTAACATCGCCTACCCTCTTGGCTCGACAAGCGGAGAAGCTGTCACGTTAGAGCAGCCTAGCTATGAGTAAAGCTCAGAAGATTATGGAGCAACAGCAGCGGAAGTCTATGAGCTTCATTAATTGGCAGAAGCCTCCACCGGGGTGGGTTGCGCTGAACTCGGACGGCTCCGTGGTGTTAGCCTCGGGCAGTGCTTCAGCTGGGGGAGTGATCAGGGATAGCAGCGGGCAATTCATGAAGGGTTTCTCGGTCAACTTAGGGGGCGGGTCAATCACGCATGCAGAGTTGTCCGGCATTGCACATGGTCTCCATAGTGCCTAGGAGTTGGGAGTGAGGAACGTCTGGTTGCAAACGGACTCGAAGACGGCCGAGTCAATTATAAAGAATGAACGTGCAAATCACCCGCATAGCACGATGGCTGCAGTTATCCGGCGATTACTTGATCGTGATTGGGACGTCAAAATCAGTCATGTGTTCCGTGAGAGTAACTATGTTGCCGATTTCATGGCCTCTGTTGGCCACTCTTTGCCCGTTGGGTGTCATATGTTAGACGACCCAGGACCTAGCCTGAGATACTGGCTTTTGTTCGATTTGATAGGGGTTCAAACACCCCGTTTTATTAATGAATAAGGGTTAGAGCGCTCCTCTGCGCTCTGTTTCTAAAAAAAAAAACTATCGCATGAAGATCTCCCCCTAACCTCGGTGCGTTGAGAGTTATATATATCCATGATTTTTAATTTTTAAGAGACTCGAATATAAATAGACAGGCTTTTAGGGACCAAATGAGCTAACAACATTTGTGCATTGCATGAAAACGTACTTTTGTCACGCTTGGAGGCTTTTTCCCCCTTTTGTCCATACACAATTCCACAAATACGGCGCCGTATGGAGAAAACTGTACCCCACCCACAGCGTCCAAATGGCTTGTGCTCCTCTGCAGCCGCTTACACAGTCACTCTATCCTCCTCCCCTCCGATTTCGCCACTTCATCCGAACGAACCGCGATCTCCAGCTGTGATTATTAATTTAACGCGTGATTATTAATTTAATTATTTCAAATTAGTCGTGCTTTGCTTGCATCAGTTGCATGGCACTGGCACCGCCGGCTGCGCTTGTCTGCGACATTCCACACATGACAGATTTTCTTTCCCTTTTATAATTTTTCCAGTTAAAAAAATCATTTATACTGTAATTATACCATTAACTAATTTAGATTTACCTTGTTTCGTTAGGACGAAAACGTTAATATTTATACCTTCTTAGCCCCTTGACATGCAACTGATAATTGTGAAGCATTTGGGTTGCGATAAATATAAATAAGAAGGCAGAATTATATATTTAAATATGTTGCATTCATCGGTTGAATCGGATTAAGAGTACTCTATATACAACTTTTCAATATTGGAATGAGAATGTTTCATCATTGACTACAAAGTTGGTTTTTGCTTCTCCAACTTCCTGTTGTAACAAAGTTCCTGGTAAACCTGATTAGTGTAGATAACCCATTGACCCTAGGATCTAGAAGCCTTTGAAATTTCATCATAAGACTGTTGTTTGGTCAAAATCTGTTGCGGCAGTTGGATTTTTGTAGATACGATAATATGGTCTAATTAGGGTTGAATTGACACAATCATATTTAATGGTATGATTCATAAAATAAAACAAAATTTTAGGAAAAATATACAGTAATGTCATAATAATAACTATGGAAACTGAGGTGTCAATCACATGCATACTATGATAAGAGCCACTAATGAAAACAAGAAACAAATTATTTGGGTAATTTTGTCAGTATTATTATTTGGCTTTATTATTACTTGATTCATGGAATAAGTAATAATTATAATTATTATTGGTGGTGGCGGCTTGAGGATTACTCAAAAAATGGTGGATGAAATTGTTAAATTTTCTGGTGGGAAGCTCCAAAGCAAAATAATGAACACTTTGAAAGGAACGTTTCCAATGTTTATGCCATGTGGATGTGAGTTGTGATCTACTCCTCTTTACCCTTCCACCATAAACTAACCCTTAAAAGGACCAAACCTTCAAATTTTATTTCAATTAACAAACATTCAGGAGGAACAATTTCTAAAAAATTGGTATGTATAGTTAGGTTATTATGGTGAGCACTTCTACTATGCTCTAAAGTATGGGTGCTTTAATGTACAACTTGAAGTTGTATCATAACGTTAAATGTATAAGTTTAGGTTGTACCATAAAGGAATTTGTACCCTTATGTTATGGTACAACTTTACAACTTAAAGTTGTACCATCACATAAATGTACAAGTTCAAGTTGTACCATGAAAGAATTTGTATAAAAGAGTATAGATACAATCTAAAGTTGTACCATAACGATAAAGGGAAAAACCTATAGCACCAATGCTATATAACATAGTAAAATTCCTCTATTATGGTTGGTATCTCGAGTGTTACGGAGCTAAAAGAAGAAGAGTGTTCGAGATTGGATGATCGAAAGTAAGCATCTAACAAATAATTAGACATTTTGATGACAGTCAAGTGTTTAGAATAAGGTGGCCTACTCAATTAGTTGAAGTATTATGGTAAAATTCACCTTACAAAGGACTCTCCTAAACCGCTTAACTAGTCGTAATTGCTCCCTTTTCTTGATTCAATACTAACTTCTAAATAAAATGTTGGTGTCTTGTTACAAATGAGAGAACTTATTAGTTATGAGTGTTTACATTGAGGGTTGTTTGTACGTATATTATGATAAAAGTTAGAAGTTTCATCAGTATTATCAAAACCTAATCACTGATTTTAATTCAATATATATTGCATCAGACATTTTATTAAATAATCCTACCAAGCAAATGAAACTGTGTTCTCAAGAAGCCGACACTAGTCGGTTGGTAGAATTTTTATGTTTCACGAGTTGGCATCTGACCGCGATGCCAGCTCAGGCATGCCCTCTCGGTGGTTAACTATTGGGCTGGGATTCCCTTCCGATATAAAACAAAACCATCCAAAAACCGTAAGTGGATCCCACTTTTGGGCTCGTACGTACGCCGCCGTAGCTGTCAGCCCAAAAATGACGAATCTGAGAGTGAAATGTTATGGGCCCACCCTCATCACTCATTTCATTTCATGTACTTCGCCGTCACGGACTGACAGACGGTGTAGCTGATTGGGCCCAAACGGTGGGCTCTGCGTATAGAAATGATTGGGCCCACTCATTTCATTTCTGTGGTTGTTTTTGTGTATTTAAGCTGTGATGATGTGGTTCGGCGGCGTCAATTTCGTCGGCTGGTTCATTATTGTTCTTTACTTGTGGTGCCTTATACAATTGTGGGTGACTTTAATGATCTATTAGGTTCCAGCGAAAAGCAGGGTGGGAACGGTTTCAATCCTACCCGAGCTCTGTCTTTTCGTAAGTTCGTCGATGATTTAGCTCTCATTGATATTGGTTTCTCTGGGCCGCGTTTTACTTGGACAAACCGCCACTCGGCTTCCTCGTTTATCCAAAGTAGATTAGATCGTTTCTTATTCTCGGCATGCTGGACTAATGAATGGCCAGGGGGTACAGTAGAGCATTTGGGAGATCAGGGCAGCGATCATCGTGCGATAATCTATCGTTGGGCCACTCCTCACCCTTTCATTAAACCGTTATTCATGTTTGATGCTAGATGGGGATCCAATGTTGAAGCGTTGCATTTAGTTGAATCGGTTTGGCAACAACCTGTGTTCGGTTCCCCTTGCTTTCAATTATGGACTTGGCTGAAATCAGCACGCCATAAACTTTTCTACTGGGTAAAAAAAGGTACGACTAACTCTGCTCGCAGGGTCAAGGAATTGCGATCTGCCTCTTTGCAAGTTCGAAATCACTCTCCTGTGGACTGGTTGGAGCTAAGCCGTATTGAGTCCGAACTAGCTTCCTCTTGGGTAGCGGAAGAGAAGTACTAGAGGCAACGATCAAGAGTTCAATGGTTGACTGAAGGCGATCAAAATTCTGGATACTTTCATGCGGTAACCCGGGCCAAGCGCCGCCGGAATAAGATTTGTGGGATCTATAATCCAGCTGGGCAGTGGGTTACGAGTGAGGAGGATAAACAATCTGTCCTGGTTGATTATTACAAGACTCTTTTTACATCAGATGTGTTGGATGATGGGTTTGTGGCTCGGGTAGCTGAACGTGTGCAGCACTTACCAATTGCTAGGTTAGTAACAGGGAGTATGAATGAAGCTCTCCTTGCTCCTGTTACGCCAATGGAAATTAAGGAGACAATCTTCCACATGGGAGCGACGAAGACTCCAGGTTAGGATGGTTTTACGGGATGTTTTTTCCGTTCTTTTTGGGAAATTGTAGGAGAAAGTGTTGTCAAGGCCATCTCTTCTTTCTTCACTACGGGGAAGCTTCTAAAGAACTTCAATCATACTTGGTTAACGTTAATTCCTAAAGTTGATGTTGTGGAGCAGGTTTCCCAATTACGTCCAATCAGTTTGTGCCAGTTCTTATATAAGGTCATCACCAAGATCATGGCCACTCGACTAGGTCGGATTCTTCCTCAACTAGTCTCCCCTGAACAAAATGGTTTTGTTCAGGAGCGTCAGATCGTTGATAATGTTCTCATTGCTCATGAATTGATGCACTTTATTAAACACAAACGGCTTGGTCGAGCAAAGTTCATGGCGCTTAAGCTCGATATGGAGAAAGCTTATGATCGTATTGAATGGCCTTTTCTTTTTGCTGTTCTCAGGAAACTGGGGTTATCTTCAGATTGGATCCATTGGGTGAAGGAATGTGTTTGTACGGCCACTTTCTCTATTTTGGTCAATGGTAAACCTTCCGGTTACTTTGCTTCTACTCGAGGTCTCTGTCAAGGGGATCCTTTGTCCCCGCTTCTTTTTGCTCTCTGTACGGAGGGCTTTACTGCCATGATCAAAGAGAAGATAGCTTCGAAGGAATTACAAGGTGTTCGTGTCTCCCCTTCGGCTCCTTCAATCTCCCATTTGCTATTTGCCGACGATTCTTTTCTCTTTCTTCGAGCTTCTCGTCGTGATGGGCAACGTCTTCTGGCTCTACTCCGAGAGTATGAAGAGATCAGTGGCCAACGGTTGAATTTATCGAAGTCTGCTGCGTACTTCAGTCCAAATTTGGATGCGACCTCGCAGAGTGATCTGGGTTCATTGCTAGGAGTAGGGTCTATTGGCCTCCTAGATCGGTACTTGGGTCTCCCTTCTTTGGTTCATAAGTCCAAAAAGGAAACTTTTCGCTTTGTAGAGGAGAAGCTCATGTCTGTTTTGCAGGGTTGGAAGATCAGGACATTGTCAATTGCTGCAAGAGAAGTGCTACTTCAATCT